GAGAGAAATCAGAAAGATGTCTCATGAAACATTACTGCCAAACACTTCATTATTTATAACAGTAATAAAATATTATTATTGTTGTTGAATCTGATTATTAAGCAAATAAGAAAGCCTTAATAAAGTTTTTAAAAATACCAATAAAACATAAATAAAGTATAGTAATTAGTTATTAAATTGTAAATTTATAATTATTGAAAATAGTTAATGAAAAATAGTAAAATATAATTTCATTAAAAGACAAAAAAACTTGCAATTTAGTAAATGCTCAAAGTGACCACCATTTGCCAAGAGACATGCGTTTACTCTTTCCAGTGTTGTGGCTGCAGTAAATTGAAGACTAACAAGCCCAGAATAAGTGCTTTCTCCAACTAAAATTAGCCACATTCTCTCACTCCAAAGTCTGAGGCCACGCGGTCGTGGGTCGCTAAAAGTGAAAGGGATGCCAAAGATATTTTATGCGTTGCCAAATTGCCAAAACAAGAGGTGACGTTTCCAGACATGGGTTGCGAGTTAAGCTACAGACCCTGTATAATGTCTTCTCTTTCCATTGTCATTATGATTTAATTAAGTACATTGATATTATTTTAAGCACATTGTCATTATGATCTCTAAGTACATTGATTCCAGTTCTGTTTATTGAGGTTAGATGGAACAGCTCGTGTACGCCTTTCTGTGAAAATGAAATGTTTAAATAGAGTTGAATTTATTTCAAGGGGGAAGTGGAGCAGATAGCCATGATGAAACCTAAAGGACAAACAGAACATGAGACTGGAATGTTGGAATTTATAGAAGATATTGTTGGCACTACTCGTTTCAAGGTGAGTAAATTACCATCGTGATCTTTGTTTAAAAATGTCATGAGTTTGTCAGGGGGGCTTGGGACAGTACAGCTAGCACATATAAATTCTATGAAGTATTTAAAGAATATATAATAAGAAAGAAATCTCTAGCTTCAGTATTGAAGGTGTAGGACAGGTTTGAAATCAATGTAAACTTTGTGATGATGTAACTCAAAACTAAATGAAAACTTCCAAATGTTTTCTAAAAAGTGTATCAGATTATATGTCTCGTCAATGCACACTGTATTTGGCTGTTGACTTTCCACTCCAAATGAAGCCACAGGCTGCTAGAAGGAGGGCGGCCTACTTTGACTTACTCTAAAAACAAAATAAACTTACTTTTGATCATTGGGGAAAGCAATTAGATTTCTAGGGTGTGACATTCAAGAAAGTTAAATATTTAAGCCTTTTTTAGAAAATCTTGTATCTTCATTTAAATATACAGTATGTGAAAACTTTAAAATTGTGAAAATCTGTTAATAATCCATCTTAAAATTGCTGTATTGTGAACTTCATTATAATAACACATTTCCTACTCTTTTTCGCCAACCTCTTTTAAGTAATGTGAACTCTTTGTATCCTCTTACATTGAAAATTTGTTGTCTTCAGGAACCTTTGGACAAGCTTTATGCAATTGTTGATAAACTTGGAGAAGAACGTACAGAAAAAATTAATCGACTGAAGATAGTGGAGAAAGAAAAGACTGCTTTGGAAAAGCCTGTTCAAGAGGCGGTTGCTTATTTGGAAATAGAAAATGAAGTAGCTGAGAGCAGAAATCTCATGTACCAGAAATGCATGTGAGTTTGGGCTGTGATATTTTGCTTATAACTAATTCTTTCAGAATCTCTTCATACGTAATTGAGGCACTGTGGCTAGCCCTTGCGACTCGTTTAATCAGCATTTTTTCCACACAGTTCAAAGGTAGTGGTGTGTCATTGAAGTTGTGGTTTTCCCAGTAATGTGGATTTCACACACCTTAGCCATTCTCAAGGTGAAGTCAAATGCAATATTGTGTTTGTTCAGAATTGCCATTGTCGTTGTGTTGTTTTGAATGTATTCGGAATTGCCATAGACAGCGACGAACTTATGCAAAAATATTCTGAGTTTATTCCTTGCTGGAAACATACAGACATGAACATCTCTTTGCTATATTTATTAGAAGTGTAGTAGCACCACAAAAAGTGCCACTAGAAATACCAAGTTGTGTTTTTTTTTTACTATTTGTAACATTCAGAATGAGAGACTGGACAAATGAACAGCCTTGCTGGCTTGGAGTCTGGTTAGGTTGGCACTGCATTTGTTCATACCACAATTACAGTATTGTTACAGTCACAACCGATTAACTTTTGGAAATCTTGGTTGCGGCCTCAATCATTCAGGTAGCTTTTCACTAGCGCACTAACTGCTTTGCTTGCATATGCTGCTGTAGCAACACCAGTTTATCAGTTGACACGCCACACGATCTGACTGTGTTTAACTTTCCAATTTGCTGTTTCCTCGGTTATACTTTCATAGTCCCTCGCTCCACGACATAAGTCTTTGTGCTATATGCTCTGCAATATCTCTCAAAGTGTTATTCGCTCAGAGATCCGTTTCTTCTTAGCATTGCTACCACTGTGATCTGATTCTAACTTCACTTTCTAAATATGATTCTGAGTATCTTCTTAGGAACAGGTTTTCCACTGAGTAACTACCTCTTCCATCTCCATTTGGTTTGGCATGTCCCTACCCCTGTACACAATACACCAATAATTTTCTTACTTTCCAGCGTGACTTGCAATATGTCTCCTTATTTGCTGGACAAAATTGAGATGGTCCCCCATCTCTCCTTTGTGGCTCTCGCACCCTTGCACGCAGCTGTGGTGTGTGTAGTTTTCCTGTTAGGGGTTAATCGCATTCCTTAGACTTTTCCTGAAGTTTTATTCTCTAACAACTGTTGTCAGCCGGAGTAACATCTATTGCTAAGCTTTTCTCCATATTATCGAAAACAACTGAGGAACGTGTCGCAGCACTCAGAGGCACTCTCTTTTCTTATGCTTTTCAACTGCTACCAGTAGCTATACCAGGGCCTTTGAACTCTCCATCAAAATCAGGGGCAGAGCACAAGGGGGCACCTCTAGAAGGTGCTAGTGTCGCCGGGTATAGCTGCAGGTTAGGCTCGCTAACTTCCACACATAAAAATAGGCTTATTTGTGAGAAATAGGTGTTTTTTAAATGTTCAATATAAGAAACCACAGAAGAAAGTATTTACATCGGCGCTATCTCTTGTATCATACACTCGTGCTTGCATCCCATGAACTCGTGCAGTAGCCATGCATGTAAGTGTTGTTGGCAGCAGTTTATGTTTTAGTTCTTGTAAGAAGGTGCTGCAGGAGAGTGTGCCCCTTTAATAGTTTCCAGCATGTTATACAGGAGTTAAAAGGCCCTGAGCTATCCCGTGTACATGGTCTTTGTTTTTTCGTGAGTGACTCCCTTTGTGCCCTACCCTCAGCTGGCGCCATGTACCCCACACCCTCGAGAAGCCATTAATCCCTCTACTCATGCCTCTTGACAGTTATATTGCCCTTCTGAGCCCTACCTAATGTCAATTCGCCACGGGTTCGCTCATAGAGCGTCGTTGCTCAGTTTTGTCCTTAGTTCCCGCATGTGCAACGCAAATGTTTCTTATTCTTGGACTAGTCTTTGTATCATTTTTTATTTAAGATGTGCGACGTATCACATTATATAATCCGCTCGGCTACATAAATGTTACCTCACTACTTGTGTGTGTTTTGATGAGCTCTTGTCTTGCTCATTGTGGATGGAGTAGGATGAGAATTGTTCTTTTGTCAGCTGTATTATAAATTCAAATCTATTATGTCTGCTCATCGTAAGTTTTCTATTACATGCCAACAAAAATTCCTGTTTTCAAATATTGCCTACCATATTCGATTGGTACCTATTGTCATAATTCAGCTATGTTTGGTAAAACATAGTGTTAGGGATTGTGGAGCTCAAAATGACGTACGCACTTTTCTAGTATTTCTTACATACCATTCTACTTTTTTTTTTGATGATAAATAAATTTAATTTAAAAATGAAATGTTTAGATTATGTTGTAGAATATGATGATTTTATCGTTTGCTGAAGATTCAGGCTTTGTCACTCGAGGAGACAAGGGCTCCCTTGGCCAGCAAAGCTCTGACCCAACTCCTGTGCTATGAAGGAAAATGTCACCGCACTGTTTGTGTCTCCCCAGAATGTATACATGCATAAAATTTCTCATTCATCACCATGTTAAATGGTGTCTGAATTTAATCTAAGATTTGTAATAATACCACTAATGTACCATTTGAAAGGTAAAAAAAGAGGGGTTTCTTACCCCCAAAAACCTACGTTGTGTACTTCAGAATGTTGAGTGGTCATAATATATTTATTAATGTGCTATAAAGGAAAACTGTAAACATGAATGAAGATTTTCAAATTTTGGTATTTGTACATTCTTGCCCTCCTTACAAGGGCTTACACTTTAATTCATCCTTGTGATAAATAGTGGTATGGTCATATTATGAATGTGCATGAAGATTCCAATGAAAATAATGCATTGTCTTATTAAATATATAGATAAAGCAATGTTATACGTTATTTTCTTTTTCATTTTTTGCATATTGTAGATAGTTTTATTTTGTTAAAAAGTATTTTAATATTTTTAGTTAGGCAGCAGATTATGCAGAGTGACTTGAATGAAAAGAGTTCAATTCTTCTCAATTTTTAAGAGATACTGGCTGTTTTGTGTAAAGCAAACTGACTTTCATAGATGAAGGGAACATAAGCCGCTTAGTAATTTACCAGAAATCAAAGCTACTGAAAAACTAAGGAAGAAATGTCATTCAAGTGGGAGTACATTCCAAAGTAATTTCTTTTATCTTCACCCAAATTCGGTTATCATGCTGGCCCTTAAAATTTTTATTTTTTTTATTTTTAGGAATGATTTGGAAATAACTTTGAAAGGGAATGAAGAGTCTAAAGTAAAGATTGAAGAACAATTGGCTTCTCTCACGGAGAAACTAAAAGAAAGTGAAAAAGAAGAAGCACAATTTAACAAAGAAATGGACATTTTAACCAGGTAAGTAGTGTTCCATTATTGAATTAGTAATATTCCATGGGATTTTGAGAAATAACATGTTGAGATTTTTCAAGAAATATTCCCCTTATTTCAACTACTTCATTGAGTAACATCCTCACCAACGTGTTTTTTAAATCATTTATTTGAAGAAATTTATTAGAAACAGCTAAGGTCATTAGTGACCACTATTAATTTACATCTGAGATACATTTTATAAATTGTAACAAACAGAAGTAATAAGTACAATAATTTTTACAATAATTCTGATTATTTGATTTAGTAGTCCTAAGAGATTTTAAAAGTTGAATTATATTTTTCGTTCACATAGTTTTTGATCCCAAGAGAGTTTCTTAAATTGTGGAGGCTTAAACATTTAAGGATAATGTGAAGAAGAATGCCTAATTCTTAATCTTGTGATAATAACTTATTTTCTTCTTAATGTAGTGTTTGGGATATTGATGTCTGCTTGTTTCTGCATGACTTGACTTGTATACTATGAGCTCTCCCATGTTTGCATGATGATTGGGGTAATATATCCCTGAAACTGTTACAACTACTATGATGAGACTTGTGAAATAAAGAATTGTTGATGTCAATTGTCTGTCTTTGAATTTTTTATGTGACTCTTTAATTTCAAGTTTGTTAAAATACCTTATACTACAACAGGCTAATTTCAATTCTACAAAAACAGTATGGCAGTCTTGCCTATTTAATGTATTTTTCTTTCTTTTCTTTTAGGGACTATAATAATCTGGTTTCAAAGAAAGAAAAAC